TTAATTTATTATTTTTATTTATTAATTAATTTAGTGGTGGGGCTGGGCACGTTCCCGACACTTCCCAGAGCAGGACAATTCCAGCAATCCCCAATTCCTGCTCCAGGCTGGTTTTGGGGACCTGCCACCCCCCCCGTCCCCAATCCCTGTCCCTCTGTCCCTCTGTTCCTGTCCTGGCAGGGTCCGGTCCAAGCCAGCAGGGATTGGTGGGATCCGAGCCCCATTCCCACAGAAATCCCACAAAATTCCTATAAAATTCCCACGGAAATCCCACAAAATTCCTACAAAATTCCCATGGAAATCCCACGGAAATCCCACAGAATTCCGGGTTCCAGCTGGCTCGGCCAACGGGTTCAGGGGACAATTAAAGGACCTGGCAGAAGTGACAGAAAGGGACAGAGATGGGGATGTGGCACCGGGTTAGGGGACAAACGAATGACCTGGCAGAAGTGACAAGAGAGGGACAGAGATGAGGATGTGACACCGGGATTTTGAGACACTGAAGGGACCGGACAGAGGTGACAGAGAGGGACAGGATGGGGATGTGGCACCGGGATTTTGGGACAATGAGGGGACAGAGATGGGGATGTGGCACCGGGATTTTGGGACAATGAAGGGGACCAGAGGTGACAGAGATGGGGATGTGGCACCGGGTTAGGTGACAATGAAGGGACCAGAAATGGGGACAGGATCTTGGGACAATTCAAGGACCAGACAGAGGTGACAGAGGTGAGGATGTGGCACGAGGTTAGGGGACAATCAAATGACCTGGCAGAGGTGACAGAGGTGAGGATGTGGCACCAGGGTTTTGGGACAATTCAGGGACCAGACTGAGCTGACGAAGGTGACAGAGGGGGACAGAGATGGGGATGTGACACCGGGATTTTGGGACAATTCAGGGACCAGACAGAGGTGACAAAGATGGGGATGTGGCACCGGGTTAAGGGACGATTAAAGGACCAGACAGAGGTGACAAAGATGGACAGAGATGGGGATGTGGCACCAGGATTTTGGGACAATTCAGGGACCAGGCAGAGGTGACAGATCTGAGGATGTGGCACCAGGTTAGGGGACAATTAAAGGACCAGACAGAAGTGACAGAAAGGGACAGGATGGGGATGTGGCACCGGGATCTTGGGACAATTCAGGGACCAGACAGAGGTGACAGAGGTGGGGATGTGACACCGGGTTAGGGGGACATTTCAGGGACCAGAGATGGATGGGGACAGGATTTTTGGGACAATTCAAGGACCGGGCAGAGGTGACAGAGGGGACAGAGATGGGGATGTGACACCGGGTTAGGGGACAATTGAAGGACCTGGCAGAAGTGACAAGAGAGGGACAAAGATGAGGATGTGACACCTGGATTTTGGGACACTGAAGGGACCAGACAGAGGTGACAGAGAGGGACAGGATGGGGATGTGGCACCGGGATTTTGGGACAATGAGGGGACAGAGATGGGGACGTGACACCGGGTTAGGGGACAATGAAGGGACCAGAAACGGGGACAGGATTTTGGGACAATTCAGGGACCAGACAGAGGTGACAGAGATGAGGATGTGGCACGAGGTTAGGGGACAATCAAATGACCTGGCAGAAGTGACAGAGATGGGGATGTGACACCAGGATCTTGGGACAATTCAGGGACAGAGATGGGGATGTGGCACCGGGTTAGGGGACAATGAAGGGACCAGAGATGGATGGGGACAGGATTTTTGGGACAATTAAAGGACCAGGCAGAGGGGACAGGATGGAGATGTGGCACCAGGATTTTGGGACAATTCAGGGACCGGACAGAAGGGACAGAGATGGAGATGTGGCACCAGGATTTTGAGACAGTGAAGGGACCAGACAGAGGTGACAGAGAGGGACGGGATGGGGATGTGGCCCCAGGTTAGGGGACAATCAAATGACCCGGCAGAAGTGACAGAGATGAGGACGTGGCACCGGGATTTTGGGAAAATGAGGGGGACCAGACAGAGGTGACAAAGAGGGACAGGATGTGACACCGGGTTAGGGGACAATGAAGGGGACCAGAGAGAGGTGACAGCGATGAGGATGTGACACCGGGTTAGGGGACAATCAAATGACCTGGCAGAAGTGACAAGAGAAGGGACAGAGATGGGGATGTGGCACCGGGTTAGGGGACATTTCAGGGACCAGACAGAGGTGACAGAGAGGGACAGAGATGAGGACGTGGCACCAGGATCTTGGGACAACTCAGGGACCGGACAGAGGTGACAGAGATGGAGACGTGGCACCAGGATTTTGGGACAATGAGGGGGACCAGGCAGAGGTGACAGATCTGAGGATGTGGCACCGGGTTAGGGGACAATGAAGCGACCAGACAGAGGTGACAGAGAGGGACAGGATGGGGATGTGGCACCGGGACTTTGGGACAATTCAGGGACCGGAGTTCCCATTCAAGGAGTGGGCAGAGGGGACAGAGATGGGGATGTGGCACCGGGTTAGGGGACAATGAAGGGACCAGAAATGGGGACAGGATCTTGGGACAATTCAAGGACCAGACAGAGGTGACAGAGGTGAGGATGTGGCACCAGGTAA